ACTAATCTTTTCTAAAACACAGAAACAACTCCTACAAAAAGACTAGTCTTTTAAACATACAGAAACGACTCCTAGAAATAGACTCGAATCTTCCCCCATACAGAAACAACTCATACACAAAGACTATAGACTTTTAAACACAAATAACTCATACGACGTACATCAATAGATTAGCCATTTCTAAAACCCAGAAACAACTCATAAGATTAGACTTTAATCCAGAAACTATTCACATATGAAATTATCTTCTATTTCGTCAGTGGGAGCTAAAACTATTCTGTTGACGTGCCTGATGACACTGTCGTATGACGTTGTCCGTTTATGACATCAAGTAACAGAACCATGAGGCAAAGTCTGACATTGTCAAGTTATGAAGTTAACAGAACCATGAGGCAAAGTCTGCTGTTAAGACACATTTAGCTTTATTGTTAATTGATGGCATGAACTACTAGTTAGACCCAGTCTATACGGGTAAAATTATGTTACTAGTTAGACCCAGTCTATACGGGTAAAATTATGTTGCTAGTTAGACCCAGTCTATACGGGTAAAATTATGTTACTAGTTAGACCCAGTCTATACGGGTAAAATTATGTTACTAGTTAGACCCAGTCTATACGGGTAAAATTATGTTGCTAGTTAGACCCAGTCTATACGGGTAAAATTATGTTACTAGTTAGACCCAGTCTATACGGGTAAAATTATGTTGCTAGTTAGACCCAGTCTATACGGGTAAAATTATGTTGCTAGTTAGACCCAGTCTATACGGGTAAAATTATGTTGCTAGTTAGACCCAGTCTATACGGGTAAAATTATGTTACTAGTTAGACCCAGTCTATACGGGTAAAATTATGTTGCTAGTTAGACCCAGTCTATACGGGTAAAATTATGTTACTAGTTAGACCCAGTCTATACGGGTAAAATTATGTTGCTAGTTAGACCCAGTCTATACGGGTAAAATTATGTTGCTAGTTAGACCCAGTCTATACGGGTAAAATTATGTTACTAGTTAGACCCAGTCTATACGGGTAAAATTATGTTACTAGTTAGACCCAGTCTATACGGGTAAAATTATGTTGCTAGTTAGACCCAGTCTATACGGGTAAAATTATGTTGCTAGTTAGACCCAGTCTATACGGGTAAAATTACGTTACTAGTTAGACCCAGTCTATCCGAATAAAATTATGTTACTAGTTAGACCCAGTCTATACGGGTAAAATTATGTTACTAGTTAGACCCAGTCTATACGGGTACAGTTCTGCACTCTTCGACCGGCACACGTCACATCACTTGTATTAGACCGTGCCGGATGAGCCGGTGTCCGGCTAATTAGCCACGAAACATTCCTGTGTCGTCACGGCTAGTAACCTATTGGTCTAGCCAATGTAGTGCCAACCTCAGGGACTGTCGCACTAGAGTCGTTCCGCGATGGTTGTGTATTAAAGTGCGGTGGTGTCAACCATTATGGTGTTTTAGTTCATATCACTAATTCCTTACTTAGCTCTTTACAGTTAGTAAAAAAATGTATTGTTCATTAAAATGTTTGCGAAATTCAAATGATTGTACTTTACCCGCCCTAGATAATTCTGCGCGCCTTCTTTAATTGTCAACGTGCGAGAATGATTAGTCAATTATGACGCAGGCGATGACGTATGGTGTGCTATGACGTAACGAAAGTCTGCTCTAATTGTTGTCATCGATCAATGAGCAGCAACCCGTATATATAGGGGACAAGGGGGGAGTATATTTAATTGATGTGTTTATCGTGGATGTCGTCAATGACTGAAAAATATATTTTTGTGACGTGTAAAAACTAGTGCCGTTAGTCATGAAGGAGACTGGTTTAAACGCGAGGAGTTGGAGCAAAAATAGTTACAGTGGTTTGAGTGATGTTCTTGCAAATAGTTGCAGTAGAGTTGGTCTGTAATAGTGAGTACATATGGATGACTACTGGACGTCATTAAGACAAGACTGTAGTGTTGACGTCTGGACGTCAGTGTCAGAGTCAGGATACGAAATAGATCGGATTCCGGACGTCTAACAGACAAGAAACTGACGAAATATCAGGACGTCCTTGTGACAGGAGACGGGAGATACTTTGTTTAAAGCGACATCACCTGTAACATCTGCATCTGTCACTTGTCACCTCAGAGGCGTAGCGAGGGGGGGGGGGGGGCGGGGGGGGACATATGTCCCAGGGCTCCGACCTTAGGGGGGCGCCAAATTGAAAGTTTGAGGGGGGTTGCAAATGAACAGTTCGAGGGGGGTGCAAATGAAAAGTTCGAGAAGGGGGGGAGGCAAGTCGAAAATTTCAGGGGGGTGCACCAACACCTGCACCTGTCATATGTGATCTGTTACCTGCAGTCACCTGTGTTTGCCACCTGCACCTGTAACATTCACCAGCTGCATGCACCTGTCACCATCACCCCCCCACCCCTTCAATTTGTTGGCCCGGAACAATCGGGGTAACCCCCAGGGTCAGACCATGACTATCCCCTGACTGAGGGGAGGGGGGAGTCGATAAATGATTCATGCAAAGCCGCGACGGAATACCGCATCGGCTAACATGACGTCATTTGTTGTTGTAATCGATACAGGTGGGGCTTCGATCAGGACGTGCAGGTGTAAGAATGATGGCTGGCGGAGACAATTTGTTGAAACAATATGCACGTTTGACCCATTGCTCGTGAGTGGGTGATCACGTGAGTTGTTTCAGGTGTGTGTGGATTTATAGAGGTATAGAATCTTTTTCGTCCTTAATTGTAATATTACAGGGAATTTCCTAATCCCGATTTTATATTATGTGTTAACTTGGTATGCGCCATATTGCCCTTTTACACGAACTTTTTTTTTGGAGTAGCTTCCGTAGCTTTTGTCCACCAAGAACAAACTACGAGGCAGAAGTTGTTTTACTTAGGAGTTGTCTCTCCTAGATGTGTTGCTGTCCCCAGCGAACGAGCCTCATCTGAAGAGGTATGAAGACGGTCACGTACAAATAGAAGAATCGTCATACGGCCATTGGCAACAGTGGACGGTACAGAATCACATCCAACGATATATAGACATTTTGTAAAAAAAATAATTTTATTACAGATTTTTTAAAACCGCAATTTTCAACCAAGCCAAAATCTTGCCAAAAATACACAGACATTGAACTCTGCGAGAACTGGACATGGAATCAGAATATGAAGAAAATAGTCCCATTTGTTGACTTCCTTTTTGTGTCGTTGAGCTCATTATTCGCGCGATGAGATTTGCTCGTCGTCGGCTGAAAAGCCACAGATCCGATATGTTTTGATAAAGGGAATATGTTGCAGGGACGTAGGAAAGCGATTATAAGGGGCGATAACAAGGGGATCATGTCAATATAGTTTAACATGAGACGAAAATGTTAAGGGAGGCTAATGGTGGGGGGTATAGGCTTCTGTGGAGAGGACAGAAGGTCCCGTGGGGTGGGGGTGCATGAGACCGTGATGGCATTATCCTTGGGGGGGGGGGGGACTTTTTTAAAAAAATTAACAGGGGGTATTGGGAGCATGGGGCAGGGGTTGGCGGGGCAGGTGTTACACTGTGTTTAAGTTGAGGTGGGAGGGGGTAGGGTTATGAGATCATATAAGGGTGACGTTTATATAGGCTTCTAGGGCCGACGATTCTAGATGTGATGTTTGGGGTAGGCGACGGTACTAGAAGGGGGGGGGGGGGTATGACATGGGTGGTATGCGGATGTGACGAAATGCGGGCGAGGGGTTTATTTATTTACTGGGTCAAATATGCGTTGAGGTTAAAGGGGAGGGAGGTCATGGGGTCACGATATGTGGATAATTTGGGCAGGTCATATCGTACGTGGTGATGGGTGATGTTGTTTTGTTTGTATAGATTGGTCAAATGTATGGCATTTTACATGAACATGTCTTTAACATATGTGCCAGATTGACGTGTATGTCAAAATGTGTGACTATTTTAGTCACCTATAACCCATACATAATACAACAAATCCTACAATTTGGCCTGTAGTGAAGAAGCTCGATGTATCATACAGTCATATCCACCGTTTTTTTTCTCTTCCCCCACCCCCACCCCCACTCCGTGTGACGAGCCCAACTCGTGCTAGAGCACCAATTAAAGCCTACGGGTGTCTTCGAGTGCTTTATTACTGCCTACAACTTCCGGTTCGGGCTTACACGGCAGATGTAACCGGCACACGTAACCGGCTGAAGAGTCGCCGCCCGGACAGCCGGCACAATGATTGGATAAATTAGGGCGCGGGGCCGGCTGTGGCCGACCCTTAGCTTGACTTGGGGGGGGGGGGAGGGGCACTTTTGTCTGGTGAGTGGGGCCAGCTAACGGAATAGTTGGATGGAGGGTCGGGGGGGGGGGGGGGTCGTTGAGGCGGCGAGCAGACAAGATGGGGAGGAGAGAAGGTCAGAGATCGTCTGGATATCAGAACAGGAAGTGATTAGACCCACAATGGTGTCATGCGTGAGATTAGCCCAAAATAGGTTCGTGATAGGTTCGTGATTAGCCCTAAACATGTGGGTGATTCGACTAAAATAGTGCCAGGATTTTGATTAGCCCCAAATGGTGCAGAAGTATACTTAACCCCAAACGGTAAGTAAAGTAACCGGATTCAAACTAGAGACTTGCGGGTTAGCAGTATATCGCTCTAGCGCTAGGCCACACCGCCTCAACCAAAACTAGAGGTCATGTGCCCAATGATGCCGTGTTTGATTTTTATAGTTGTCTTTCCTAGATGAGTCGCTGTCACCATCCATCGAGCCTCATCTGTCTGGGGGTTCGAACTAGGGACTTCTCGGTTTAGCAGCCATGAGCTTTACCGACCCGACCACGCCGATCCAAAAATATATCCCATATCACACTTCTAAATCTTATCCCCTTATGAAATAACTAAAAATCCCCCACCCCCACCCCTAATTAAATGACGTCATATATATTCGCTACCATAACAAAACCTCAGCCCTTCCAAAGTTCTGATCGTACTCACCAAAGACTTGCTTGGTTTACTGACAAACACACTTTGCTCCCGTGAGTAAAAAAAAAACTTCGTCTTTTCACGAACGTCCTTCTGCCCTTGACCTTCAAGATGTATGACGTAGCAACAGCACCAAAGCCTAGCGACCAACTTGTTTATTTACAAAATGGATGTAACGGTTCCAGTTCTTTACATCAACATACCTGCACAGAAAAAAAACACAAATATTACGTTGTTGTCAAACTCGTACGTTTGTCAACTAGATTAAATGTGAACCATCCATAAGATAGCTTCTCATCGAACACATTTCTACATATTTAATACATATCGTATGATTTAAGGGGAAGTAAGCAACATCAAAAAGAACATTTATCGGTAATAAATAAAACTATAGCGCTGAACACACATAGTATTATGGGAGAATGTCGACTTGGCTATGCAGTTTATGGGAGGTAATCAATGTTTCATTCAGCACAAAAAGTCAGAGTTCTGTATAAAAGCGGGGACAAAGAGAGCACATATATGAAGGTCGTCAAGTTTTTTATTCATGTTTTTGTGTTGGTTTTTATTTCCGTTTCGATGTTGTTGTTTTTTTTTTACTTTTTTCTACATTCTTTTTTGTTCGTGTTTTGTATTTTAAAACCGGTGTTTCAATATACACTTATAGAATCATTAGCTATTCCTCTTGAAGAGAATCTTAAAGCAGATAGAGTTTAGACCTGCGTGGGGTGTTAGTTTCATCTTTTCTCGACAAAACAGGTGACCTGCTTGCACTGTGTAGACATAGCACTGACCGCATTGCATACCAAAGGCAGGACTACAGCAAAATAAGATGGAATTTAAGTAGGATTACGACTTATATGATGTCATGTATCTAACATGTGATGTCATGTTATCGGTTAGACTCAAGTGAAATCGCAGTAGTTTTCAGATACATGACGTCACATCAGTATTTAAAAGCTTATTACAATAAATGTTTTATTTTTCTTATGTTCTACTTTTTTATAAGTCATGTTTTTTTTTAAAAGAAAAATAGTATGTCTATATCTATATTTATTGAAACTTATTATGTCCTACATTTTTTTCCTTCAATTAGGTCCTAATAAAGTCGACAATACATATACACACAACTAAAAACGTTTGCATTAAAAATCTGTTGAGTAGCATGGAATCCCTAAAAGAAAATCATTTACCCTTAAGTTATTATCTACGTAGTCAGCTGTCGGGAATGAACCAATAAGGCATGGCCAAAGGTCTTCACCGTTGACTAGTATTAGATCTTGTCATACCTTATTTTTTTCATAAATTAAGAAATCTTTAAATTTATTTGCCATAATGATTTATATTTTATCGCCTTTTTTTCAGAGAATGATGTAATTGTAAAATGACAACAAAATCGCTGCACTAGAAGTATAGAGAAATTGAGCTGCAAGATTTGCCACCAACCCACAGACAAATAAACAAACAAACAGACATTAAAAACGAAATAGAAGTTCACAAAGAATTAGTTGCCTCTAACCTTGAATGTGACATTTTTTTTTTACCTGTAACGACAGTGTCAGAGTCAGTCTTGTTCGACCTTGACCTTGTCAATAGCACAGAAGGAAACTCGAGATATGTCAGCGATAAGTTTTGAAATAATTGACCTTTCTTTAATGGACTTTTTTTTTTAGTAATTAGCTTGTCACGTGCACGGCTTTTCCACAACTGTGTAAACTACCCCACTAAAAGGTCAAAAGTTTGTGCGTTGTTTGACGTGGGAAAAAAATTAGTAAAGGTTATTTTTCTTCATATTGGCTAACTGATCAGTTAGTGTTCTATCTACCTCCCCTAACGTGGTACATTGGTTTATTTGATTAGATGATTGCACATTGTTCAAAGTTATTCGATGAATATTTTTAAAACTGTTCAGCGTCAAATATTCGTTTTCCTAACGATAATCAAATAATGAACAGGATCTCTTACTAAATATATAAACAAAAAGGTGTTACACTACATTAAAGATACCGGGTGAGATTTTGTTTAAAACAAAGACAAGGAAATCTGGCCATCAAACTTTGGCCACTGGATGACCTGGTCAGGAAAAAATGGCCACTGGATAGGTTGATCAATGAAGCATATGATACAGATTAGTCTGGGGACACTGGCCAAAAGATATACTAACCAGGGGCCACTGAAAGACTGGATGTCACTAGCCATGGCCACTGGCCATTGAATAGACTGGCCAATGAAACACTAGATATAGATTAGCCATGGTCACTAGCCATTTGATAAACTGACTAGATATCAAATAGTTTGACATGATGTTAATAATTATCTCGATATTCGCAAAATGAAAGCATACTGTGACGTAATCCAGTGGAAATAACAATAAATATATTTAGCCATTTTGTGGATACGGTCATGACCGAACTGATATAATCCACTGGATTAACTTAATATTCTGCCACAATCTACTGGATCAATTAATCGCCATAGGGTACCCATTCATTAGATCCAACTTAGTATCAGTGTAACCATATGCATTGGATCAACATTGTCTCCATACATTGAAGAAGTCGGATAGAGCAACATTAATACAACTAGTCAACAGTTACATATACCAGGCAACATACAACTATACTTACACCGTCAGGATACATGTGAAACAAACGTCTAATTGTTTCAAGAATTCCAAATTAGTTAGTCTGATGTATCCAGATTTAGCACGATGTATGAATTGTTATAACCACTCTTACACTTAGAAAAAAATGGCACAGGATCTCTACAGTAAATATTTAAACCAGATCAAGGACAATTCTTATCTCTAGCATGCTTTTTACATGCTGTCCAAAATGGCGGTTTACGGCATGTGACGTCACAATCTTTGTTTACATTTGCGATGATTGCCAAAACCTATATAAGGTTTGTTTGAGAAACCTACCCCCATAATTTACAACCTGCTCGGTAATTTATAACCGGGTTTTTAAAAAGCATAGGCTTGTCTATAGACTCTACGATATTAGGTTTTGTTATCTACGTATGAGAAAGGTCCTTTCTTTTCTGTTATATGTGTTGTGTGTAGCTGTGTTGAGGTGTACCTCTGGGGCGCTGGGGGAGCGGAAAGGGGGGTAGCTCTGTCAGTCTACACTGGGTCAATGGGTTTAATAAGAAAGACAAGTGAACCCAATCAAGAAGACATGTCTAATTAAAACAGATTAGGCATCACCATGTTAAAGAAATGTTGAGTGTTCAAAAAGAACAAAAATATTTCAGTTAATGCATTCGACTAAACTTGACAATTTTAATACAACGAAAACAGTGTGTGAATTACGAAATCTATTTATATGACTTGTCCATATCTGATATAAAAATTGTAAAATCTAAGATTAAACTATGCTTTAAGTAGTATCTGAGCTAGAGTAATCGTGTAACAGTTAAGGTTTGGTCTTAGCTAACTAAATGTGGTTGATAAAATAAACAGCTATCAGAGCTAAAAAGGAATTGAGCTTATCTAAGCTAATATTGTGTTATAGCTAAATCTTTGAGCTTAGTCAATCCCAGGTTTTCTGTCAACATTTACTATAATTAATCTCCATGTCTCTACGGGTATCTATGTACTTAAGGTACACTACGGTATGATGTGACATATTTGCTACACGGTGTAACAATTCACATTTTTTCTTTCCTCGTGTGATCCGTGTATTATTCACCAGTTGTATGCAACTTTTTGTTGTAGTTTAACAACTTCCTGTCTGTCCGCAAACACATTTGTTTTATTGCTAAGCAGGGATTGTGTTGATTTTTTTAAACTCGTTCGAATAAAAACGATAGGGCATGTTAGACCGAAATCAATATTTGAATTGAACGCTGGAACAACTAAAACACATTTGGAGTCTTTGAGACAAAAGAATAGCGTTGTCATTTAAAAAGTTTGATCGCGTGCTTCTACTTTATTAATATTTTAATCACGTGATTAAGTGCGCTGTATCAACACTTAAAGTTAAGTCAAAAGCTAGTCAAACAAAATGTGACGCTGTGAGGATTACAAAGTAGATTTATTAAACAGCATGCGACAACGTCAACACAAAAATGAGGTGTTTAGTCTATTAGAGGGTATGGGATCAGTACCACCACACCACCAACCTAAAAGGTCACTCGATTATACAACTAGTAAGTCTGTAATTCAGGTACAAAATATATTACGATGTTAAAACTTATTTTAAAACAGAGGCCCTTTATCGTCACATTTAATCCATCATTTTACAGCGGTTTGTTACCATCGCTCGCTACAGTTGTATGACAATCACAAGAAAACTGTGACAGCTCCAATAAAGCTTTATGACAGCTATGCTAAACCTGTATGACAGCTATACTACACCTGTATGACAGCTCTACTATACCTGTATGACAGCTCTACTATACCTGTATGACAGCTCTAATATACCTGTATGACAGCTATACTACACCTGTATGACAGCTATACTACACCTGTATGACAGCTATACTACACCTGTATGACAGCTATGCTACACCTGTATGACAGCTATACTACACCTGTATGACAGCTATACTACACCTGTATGACAGCTATACTACACCTGTATGACAGCTATACTACACCTGTATGACAGCTATACTACACCTGTATGACAGCTATACTACACTTGTATGACAGCTATACAACACCTGTATGACAGCTATACGAAATCTGTATCACAGCTATACTACAATTGTATGACAGCTCCAATTAAGTTTTATGACAGCTATTCTACACCTGTATGACAGCTACTAACAACAATTTGTTTTTAAAAGCGTCTGTTATTTTGCTGTAAAATTCTGAAGGGTAGGGGGTGGGGAGGTGGTCTCACTTAGCCGTGGATATAAAACACGTAACAATTAAGAAGTGCCTTTTTTTAAATGTGTAAACTTTGTTCCGTATCAAGCTAGATGGAAATCTAGCCGGCACTTTAGCCGGCACTGAGCCAACACACCGGCTCCGATTTCACAACACACTCAGTTTTTTTAAGTGTTGTTTTTAAATTAAAATTCAGTCATAATTGATTGATTTTGGAAGATTTCCACCCTGCTCTCCCCCCCCCCCCAATCCCCCACCCCCCACCCCACACACTCACCCTGTCAGTCGGCTAATCCTTGATTGTCTCTTGTTTCAGTCGCTACCATTCCGCTTGTTGCTTCTTGGCACATCCGGGTCTTGCCTAGC